CGACGATGATGAAGACGCATGATGAGTTTGACGGACGAGGAAAGAGCTGCTAATGTGTCGCCGTACTTCTGGCAAGGACGTGACAGTCTGCACAGGTTCATGTGCACACGAGTGTGTGTGTGTGTGTAAACGTTTGTCAAGGCGTGGGTTTCCAAAACTTTCGCCTTTGATGAGACAGGAGATTCAAACTTGCCCTAGTGCCCGCTTTGTTTTTTATTGCACGCATATCAGATCATGCATGCAAACGCCCCACTAAGCGCACTTCACCTGGATGTGTGTGTGTGTGTGTGTGTGTGTGTGTGTGTGTGTGTGTGGAAACGCGTTTGAGGCTTTGTGTCGCAGGTTGCGACATGTGCTCTTCTTGCCGCTGGGCGCCACTTGACCTCACTGCACATCACCTCAAACCCAGCCCCTCCTTCTGACCCACCCCCTCCCCGCTTATTGCTTGTTCAACTGCAGTCGTCGAGCGCGCTGCTTGCGCTGACGTCACTGCTGCGTCATTCCCGCGCCGCCGGACTCATTGACCACCTGCCCTCGTCCTGGACCCAACACGACGCGGGCGACCACGACCACGTGTTTGCGCAGCCCCTTCAACGTCAGTCGCACTCAGCGTGTGTGTATTTGTGTGTCTTTGCATGTGTGTCTGTGTGTTCGTCTTTGCATGTGTGTAGCAGTTACTCGCCTTCTGGTGTTTCTGCTCCTTCGACTCCTGTTCCACCATCAGTCGCCTCACACTGCCCATCTGCACAACACTCGATCATCTCACGGCAGTGAACGACGATACAGAGCTCGGCGGAATCGGGCGCATCACCTCCGAACTGCCAGAGCACTTTGACGACGGCAGCCACAATCATGATGCAGACCACGATGACAGCGATGACCATGAGGATCACGGTGATGGCGATGAGGGCGCAGTTATTCACCCGACCCTAATTCAGGTGCGATGACTGGGACCGCCTTTGGATCAGGCTTCACGTGCTCACCGTGATTTTCTCGCATACTCTTCACCACCTTTCCTCCAACGAGCACCCACTTGCACACACACTCACTTACTCACTCACTCACACACACTCACTCACTCACCCACACTGTCTCACTCACACTGTCTCTTACTCCCCCACACTCACTCACTGCCTCACTCACACACACACTCACTCACTCACTCTCTCTCACACACTCTCTCCCACACACACTCTCTCAACTACTGAATCCAACGCAGGTTGCATTGGCTCACGCCAGCGCAGAGATTCGCGCAAACGCGCTTGCATTCCTGTGTGAAGCGCGAAAGACCAAGACCGTCCCGTCTTCGTTTGAATTACGCGGCGTGCAGGTGCGGGACGAGCGGCAATCGCTTGCTGTCATGCACGTACTTGGCTCCAGCGTTGTGGCTTGACACATGATTCACACACTGTTCTCACACACCTGGTGTGGTCGCTGCAGTTTTTCTTGGAATGGAACAAGCTCGTGTCCTCATCAGAGCGGAAAGGCGTGGAGCGCAGCCTTCGCAAGTACGGTTATGGTGGGCCACCCACGGCTTGACGTGACACCTTCACCAGGCATGTCTGCTCCTCCCATAATATTTTCGACCTTGAGCCCTCACCCATGCCTCGTCCGCTTGCGCGTGCAGGCTGCTGTCCAGGCTGCAATCGGTGTACGGGTCGAAGAAGACGAAATCATCGGTTGCAGATGACGCGGACGGCCGCGCTGTCATCTCCTCGTGTTCGATGTTCATCACCTGGCTCTGGCACTTTGCCTTTCAGCTCATGGGTGAGCTTCAATGACTTGTGGGAGGGGGCGATTGTGAGTCATGAGTGCATTCTTGAGCGTGAGTGACCAATGCATGCATGGACACACACACACACACCCTTACACACACACACACACCCTTACACACACACACACACACGTGCGCGCGCACACACACACTCATGCGCACACACACAATCTCTCCCCCCCCCAAACCACACACACACACACACCGCAACAGCCCCGCACGAGCCCTTTCAGACGCGTGCACTCGGCCAGGCCCTGCTTGACCAGCTGCTGTCGTGCCTGCCGCCAGCAGCCGTGCGCCACGTGCTTGCACGCACGCCAACCGCCACAGCGGCAGCACGTACCAACAACGGGAAGCAGGACGACTGGACAACTCTTCCGCTCACTTGCTCGGAGCGGCGCACCCTGACGCAATCCATGCTTGACCGTTATGAAATCAACCGGCTTGGGGCGTTCAATCTCCTGGCAACGTTTGGCGCTGCGCCCGTGGCATTGCGCGACTACTTCCTCCCATCACCACCATCACCACCACCATCACCTGCACCTGCTGTTGACGGGTGCAACAATGATGACGACAACGGTGACAACGATGACCACGGTGATCGTGATGATAGCTGTGGTGTTGATGATGATGGTGGTCGTGATGGTGGCAATGCGAAAGAGGGCAAGAAGCAGGAATGCGGGCATACCCTAAAGTGGCTCCAGGAGCACAGCGCTCGCATCAATCACATCAACACCCACTTTGCTGCCTTGGGTGAGAATAAAGTCTGCTTGCTTGTTTGCTTGCTTGTTGTGCTTGTTTGCTTGCTTGTTGTACTTGTTTGCTTGTTTGCTTGATTTACTTTCCGCTGTCCGCCTGTTTGCGAACACCCTACCGCCAGTTGCACCAGCTCTCCTTTTCTCCATCCATCAGCCCGGTCTCACCGCAGCCCCCTTACCCTCTCCAACGCATGTCCACAACCCGCAGTGCAAGCCCTGAGCTACGCCCAGTTCCTGAATTGCGCCATCCCTCCCTTTGCTCGCATTGACAAGGTGAGTTACACGCGTGATTTGGCAAAGACTGTGGAAATTTGCGCGCATGCACCATGCCAAGCACCCCCCCCCCCATTCCTGCCTTAATCATTGCATGACCACCCTCACCATCACTCGCCACACCACGCCATGCTCCCTCCATGTTTCTAAACGCCAGATGTTTGGCACGCTGCTGGCTGCCAGCAATGGCCGTGTCCTGGACACCACCGGCTCCGACGACAAAGCACCGGCGGTTGTTGCGGTACGAGTGAGCCACTGTTCACAGTCACTTCTTTTCATGCTGCTTTCATGCTGCTTTCGTGCTGCTTTCATGCTGCTTGCGCATATTTTGCGGGCCACACAACCCCCCCCCCTTCCAGCACACCCCACGTCTCACCATCACCATCACCATCATCACCATCACCATCACCACTTAGGGGAACACACTGGAAGACCGATCGACAGCAGCAGCAGAGGCGGTGCAGTTCATGCTTGCTGGTGACACAGCGACGCAGACGCGTGCACGCCACGTTCTCTGGCTCATCAACCAGCTGCACGCAAAGGTGCGGTGTTCCTGCAAGGGGTGAGGCGTGTGAGGACTGCAACTTGTTGTTCGCATCATGCTCCCAACCACGCTGCCATGCGTGCTCTCATGCCTGAAACCCCCCCCCCCCAACACACACACACACATACACACACACACACACACACACACACACACACACACCACACACCACACACCACACACACACACACACACACACACACACATTTGTAGGTTGATCAGTGTGGCCCGTCCCGCATGGTTGCGTTGCACGGCACCATGGAAACCATTCGCCACCTGCTCATCATTGAGCCGTTCGTGGACACGTCCAACAGCCATGGCGCAACCAATCAACAACACATGCTGTGGTCGTCACTGATGCTCATGCTGTGGCAGGAGTTGCGACGTGTTGTTGCCTTCACCATGCCCACCGTCGCGGCCTCTGCTCCCGAAGGGTGCGCGTGTTGTTTGTACATGCATGGGGATAGACGCGTTAACACTGCTGTGTTGGTGCGAACGTGAGCGTGTACGTGTGTTCGAGATTGTCATTTGTTGCCTGCCGTCAGAGAGTCTTGCTCGCCATCTCTCATGCGCTGCTGGCCTTTGTGCATTTGTTTGTTCGTTCTATGGCGCAGGTTCTCCGGTGATGGCGATGGTGATGACTTGTCTGCCTCGTCATCTGAGGCCTTGGACCAGGTGCACCCATAGCGTTGATTCCGGCACTCGTGTGTGCTGGCACACATACATGGCTTTTCCTGTCTTCCTCACACACACACACACACACACACACACACACACACACACACACACACACACACACACACACACACACACACACACAACCTCCCTCTCCCTGTCTCCATCTCCAACCCCCCCCCCCCCCCAACTCCCTCACACACGCGCGCTCATACACAAAATATGCAGGACATGGGGGCAAAAGTGCACCTGGTGTGCTGCTGGCGGGCCATGCGAGAAGTGGCCTTCATCACTGCGCTTCTTGTCCTTCGCTTCCCCTTTGCGCCCGCTGCCTCAACAACAATTACTCCCACGCACGCGCAGACAAGTGGCGACATGACGGGCGGCGGTGCGCTGCGGCTGACGTGGGCTGATGCGCTGTGCATGGGCCAGCAACTGTACACGGGTCTGCTGCAGAGCCGTCACCGCGGTGTTGTCGAGGTCATGTCATCCTCCTTCCAGGCCATCTGCTCAAGGTGCCAGAGCTGAATGCAGCGTGCTTTTGTTTGCTCTCTTGCTGTCCTTCGTGCTCTGTGATTGTGATTGTGGTTTGTACGCTGCAATGGGTGGAACGACGCGGCACAGCGTCCAATTTGTGGGTTTACACGTTACATTTCATTCACGCCGTTACACCACTGCTGTGTTCCTTCAGGCTGTGGATCCATTTTCCTGATCACCTGAGTGGATGGTGTGTATTGCTTGCGGACGTTTGCATGGCCTTGCTCGACACCCTCTTGCATTGCACTTCACTCACTCACACACACACGTGCACACACATACACACACGTGCACGCACGCACGCACACACACACGTGCACACACACGTGCACACACACATACACACTCACACACTCACACATGCACACACACCCCTACACACCCCAGGTTGGAAGATGCCATGTGTTCGATCCGCAATGCCGATCGTGACAGCATCACGCGTCGCAGCGCCGGGTTCCCGCTCGTCGTGCTGTCCATCCTTCGCTCAGCGCCCAGCGCACGCCGCAGCCGCCTCGTGCACAGGGGCGTGGATGCCCTGCTGCGCATTGCCTGCAGGCAAGGAGACACAGAGCAGGCCCCGCGCGGCGACTGGCGCGGTGACGCCGTCCCCAATGATGAGGAACGAGGTGGCGATGATGCTTCTGATGCTGCGAAGACCACGACCACCACACACGACGCTGCTGAGGGGGATGAGGAGGAGGATGGAGACATGCATGTGGTTGGGCACCGGAGCAACGCTGCGGTGGTGCATGCATACAACGTGCTGCGCGCCATCATGCGTGATGAAAGCATGAGCAAGCACAGCAGCAGCGGAACCGCGCGCGCATATGCGCTGGCGCTGGACGGGTTTGTGTCGCCCGTGTTTGCTGTGCGCAATGCGGCCATGATGCTGTTCAGCTCGCTGCAGACGCGGCTGCTGGGCACCAACGGCGCGCCGTCGTCGGCATCGTCGGCGCCTCTGCTGTCGAGCAGCGGTGATGGCGGCGGATGGGCCGGCCCAGCATACATGGACACACTCGCAGCCCTGCAGAGCAGACGGCAGCGCGAGGAGGACACGCGTCACGCGCCAACATCTGATATTGTACCTGGGGATGCACATTCAACAGCAACTGCAACACCTGTGGCTCCGCCCAAGGTCGCGCCAGCATCGGCCGGCCGTGTGCTGACGCTTTGGTCGATTCTGTCGTCCAACCCCGGCCTGGCAGATCTTATTCTCGGCGCACTGCAGCCGCAACAGCGACAGCAGCAGCAAGTGGCGGAGGAGGACAAGGGACAGGAGAAGGGGGTGGAAGGTGAAGCCGAGCAAGGCAAAGAGGAAGAGGAAACCGTAACCAAATCGACGCAAGAGGCCAGGGATGGTGGTCAAGGCGAGGAGACGCAACCAAAGAAGGGTCAAAGCAAGATTGAGAAAGAGCCCCATGTCGACGCTGCTGTTGGTGCTGCGACCTCGTCTGTGTGCGGCACCGCCACCAAGCGTGCGTATCTGTCGCTGGTGTTTCTCTCTGGACTGGACAATCGCGCCGCCGTTGCCGATGGCGATGTCACGAGCAAAGACGGGCAGCTGGCACTGCGCGTCACGGCGCTCCTTCGGCTGTGGGCCGCGTCTCCAGATGCCCGCGTGCGCCGCCTTGCATCCCGCGCCGCATGCGCCGTCGTGCCCGCCACGCTCGCTGGCACCGTGATCCGCGAACTCGTGACACAGCTTTCCAGAATAGCGGCACCACCTACAAGTGATGCATGCACCAGCGCTGTGGACAGCGCCTCAAACAGCGAAACGTCGCCAAGCAACAGCAGCAGCACCGCTACTGCCACGACGTCAGCTACCCTCACGGCGCAGGCGATGACGACACCGCGACAGACGCCGCTGTCCTTCAATGCCGTACACGGACTGCTTCTCCAACTCTCACGCCTCATCCGCACGCACGCAGCTGTTGTTGATGTGTTTGAGCTCACGCGCGTCTGCTGCTCGCCGTCATGGACGCGTGCGCTTGTGCCGACAACAAACACGTCGCTGTGGGTGCCGTGGGTGGTGCAGGCAGAGTACTGGTGCGTGGTGTCGGCGCTGGTGTGCGAGGTGCACAGGCGCAGCCGGGACCCGCAGCAGCTGTACGATGCTGCTGCTGTTGGGCAGCTCAGGGCGGTAAGGCCGCACGTGCTTCACGCGTTTACGGCAGCCAAGAGGCAAGTGACGGCGGTTCTCAGCGCAGGGGATACCAGAACGTCCGCTGTTGCTTCTGTTGGCGCTGTGGCTGTACCGCAGCACACGGAGCCTGGTGCCGCGAGATTCAAACGGGCCGTGACGCGGGCGCTGCTGGAGACGCAGCGCTTGCTGTGCGGCCCAATGCAGGCTGTTGCGGGCGCCACCGACATTGCCGCTGACAGCACTGAAGCTGGAACCCAGAGAGTGGGAGACAGTGGACGTGAGCATGGGCGTAACAACGGCACCACCCACAACGGCGGACACAGCGGAGACACAGCCGTAGATGTGAGCGCTGTCAGCAACACGGTAGATGCCATTGATGACGTGTCCGTACCGGGACTCGCGAAGATGCTGGAGGACACGGACATGGCAGTTGGTGCTCTGCGGTTCTACTCGTACGGCGGCATGGGACTGCTGTCTCGCCCTGCATTCGCTGCTGCGGCACAGGTGCTGTGGCAGCAGGCCTACCCGCAACACCGCGCCCCGAGTAGCACAGCATCTGCCCCATCTGCAGACGATCAACTGCGTGGCCCGGACGCAACGGCCGCGCTGCTGTCCGCGTTGCAGAAGCACTTGGTGACGGCATCTGGGAGAAGTGCCGATGGTGGTGCTGCTTGCAGTGATGCTGGTGTGCTTGGCCGAGTGCTGAGTGCCTGCAGGCAGCTGGTGAAGAGCCCCTTGGACGAGGTGCGGCTCGGCGCCGTGGCGCTGGCAGGATGCGTGGTGACCCAGTTGTGCCGCCTGCACCAGTGCGACCACGACGTTGTGGGCCTGTATATGGCGGCACTCGCGCCCTTCACGACAGATCTGCCAGACCCGAACGTGGCGTGTGCGGTGCTGTGTGGGCTTGATGCGCTGCCACTCGTGCTGCGGCAGTGGCAGATGTGGCCGGCGGTTCGCCGCACGGAACTCGGCGCACGGCAGGTGCTGAGCGGGTTTGCGACCCTGCTGCATCTTCTCTTCCACGAGGAGCCCGATGTCGCTGCACACGCCGCCGCCCTCGTCCGCGCGTGCTGGATGCGCTGCTGCCGTCGTGTTGCTGGTGACAGTGGCCATGATGGTCGTGGTGGCGGCAGCAGCGGCGCTGGCATGGTGGGCGGGCACGATCACCACCAGCTCAGCGCTGTGGCGTCGGCGTCGCGGCTGCTGGTGCTGTGCGATGTGGCGGTTGGGCGCTTCGAGTCGCTCGTGCCCCGCCTCTACCTGGCCCGCGCCCTGGCCACATATGTGCAGGAAGAGTGCGTGGCGAGCGGGCTACGAGACGCCATGGCGCAGCGGTTGCAGGCTGTACGGAGCGACAAGATACCAGGAGGCGATGGCGGTGATGTGGGAGATGGGGCGCAAGGCCTGCTGTTCATGCACAACGAAGCGCTGCCGCTGTTCCCTGTTGTGGACGTGCTGGCGCTGTGTCTGCGTGGAGTCGAGGAGGACATTGAGGGAAGTGATGCGACGCAGGCTGCAGCGCTGCGACAGCAGGTGGCGGCGTTGTGGCGCTCGTTTGATGCAACGCCACCGGTACCGGCGGAAGCTGTATCCGACGTCACGGACGCCACAGGTGCACCAACAACGACAACAGCGACGACGAGAGCATCGTGGGTGTGGGGTGGTGTTGGGGATGCTGGTGCTGGTGCTGGTGATGATGATGATGATGATGATGATCGTGGTGACGGCGCAGCAACTCGTGTTGTGCAGGGAGAGGTGCCACTGGATGTTGTGGTTGAGATGAGCGTGCAGCGCGTTGACGAGATGTCGGTTGGAGGCCGCCACTGGCCCATCGTGTGCCGCTGCCGCAAACTCTTGCACCAAGTGCTTCAGGAATAGCTCTCTTTGTGTGTCTGCGTAGTTGTGTGTGTCTTGTGTAATGGTGTGTGTGTGTGTGTGTGTGTCTGCACAGTGAATGAAGGATAGTCTCATGTCATGTCACACATCGAACAACTGTTTGGATTGCTGCTCCAGTGTGAGCGCAACAACAGCCACGAAAGATACGACGAAATTTCCACAAACACAAACAAACAAACAAACAAACAACGATGATGCACTGCGCACTGGCTGTGCCGTTGGCGGCGGTGGTCTGGGTGGTGTTTGCAGTATCACTGCTGGGTTGCGCTCAGCATGCTGCAAGCGCTGCCGTGAGAGCAGACGCCCCCAAGCCCCACATTGTCTTCATCATGATCGACGGTGTGTGTGTGTGTGTGTGTGTGTATGTGTGTGAGTGATTGAGTGATTGAGTGAGTGTGTGCATGGTTAACCTTTGCTTCTCTTGCTTTCTTCCTGCGTACTGTGTGCTTCCTCTCACTCACTCACTCACTCACTCACTCACTCACTCACTCACTCACTCACTCACTCTCACACGTGATGCCAAAACAGATTGGGGCTTCCACAACTTTGGCATTCGCAACCAAACAGAGGCCAAGACGCCAAACATGGACAAACTGGCACGGGATGGACTGCTGCTGGATCAGGCGTACTCGTATTTTTGGTGCACACCGAGCCGTTCCAGCTTCCTCTCTGGTCGTCTGCCCTTGCATGTGTTCCACTCCAACCGCGTCAGCTCCGCCAGCTGGGACTCCCAACACCCAGACACGGCCGGCGTTGGCATCCCTCGCAACATGGTGAGTTTTGTGTATGCGCTCGTGTTTGTTTGTTGTGCGTATGTTTGTTTGTTTGTTTGTGTTTGTGTGTATGTGTGCTTGCTTGTTTGTTTGTGTTTGTGTATGTTGTGTTGTGCGAGAGTGTCTCGCTCACATCCACCCTTTCCCTGTTGCATTCTTTGTATGTCCTGTTCCCCTGCCCCCCAACACGACTTGGTCCTTCCATCCACTCACACACACATTACACATGACGCACGTTTTACGTATTACACACGCAGACCACGATTCCGGCGTTTATGAGGAAGGCTGGGTATAAGACGCACATGGTGGGCAAGTGGGATGCGGGCATTGCCACCCCACAGCACTCGCCGCTTGGGCGTGGGTTTGACTCGTCCCTGCACTACTTCAACCACGACAACAACTACTATGCCTACAACTACACGGACACCGTGTCCGTCCAGTTCCCCGTCAAGTGCCAGCTGCTGAAGTATGTGACGGGGTTTGTGGACCTGTGGAACAGCACGGAGCCTGCCGACGCTCCAATCGGCACATACGAGGAACACGTGTTCCGCGACCACGCGCTCGACGTCATCTCCAAGCACGACGCCTCCACGCCGCTGTTCCTGTACTACGCCAGCCACATTGCGCACGCCCCGCTGCAGGTGCCCCAGGCGTACCTGGACCGCTTCCAGCACATCCCCGACCCGATCCGCCGCACGTACCAGGCGATGGTGCTGGCAGCCGACGACGTTGTCGGCAACATCACGGCCGCGCTCAAGGCCAAGGGCATGTGGGAGAACACGCTGCTGGTCGTGCACTCGGATAACGGCGGCGCCATCTACCAGTGCCTGGACGGGATGGACGCCAGCCTGTGCGGCGGCGCGAGCAACTGGCCGCTGCGTGGCGGGAAGCTGAGCCCCTTCCAGGGCGGCATTCGCGTCAACGCTTTTGTCAACGGCGGGTTCCTCCCCTCGCATCGCCGTGGACAGGTCGAGACGGGCCTGGTCGTCCTGGCGGACTGGATGGCCACCTTCTGCGAGTTGGCCGGCGTTGCGTGCGAGGACCCCATTGCCAAGAAGGCGAACCTGCCCGCCATCGACTCGCAGAGCCTGTGGTCGCTGCTGTCGGGCGCCAACAGCACGTCGCCACGTGTGGAGTACCCGATCACCTTTGACCAGTCGCCGCTCATCGTGCGCCCGCCCTGGAAGCTGATTGTGGGCGACAACCTCCAATACGGCCAGTGGACGGGCCCAAAGTACCCCAACGCCACGACAACAGGCGGGGGTGTGCCTGCCGGTGCCGTCAACTGCACAGCCGGCTGCCTCTTCAACATTGAGCAGGACCCAACCGAGCACCACGACGTGGCCGCGCAACACCCCGACGTTGTTGCAGACCTCAAGCAGCGGCTCGCGTACTGGCAGAGCCACACGCTGACGTGGAAGCCTGGCTGGCCCATTCCACAGGCGTGCGAGGCGTACATCCACCGCTACAACGGCTACTACGGGCCCTTCATCGACGTGTAGGAGGCCGGAGTCGTGGTGGTGATGATGATGACGATGATGATGATGATGGTGGTGGTGGTGGTGGTGGTGATGGTGAAGACGACGACGGAGGTGGTGGCGGCGGCGGTGTTGAATTTGAGTTGATTTGACATGGGTGGATGTTGAGTGGAGTTGTCAATGCTGCTGGTTTGTTGAATGCCTTGTTCCCCCCCCCCTCCACTTGTTATACCTTCATGTTACAATCGATTCAGTGGTTTCTCGCTTCCTGTTCTCTTCTCTTCTTGGAATACACGCCTTCGACGCGCATGTGTTGTGAGTGCGGCTTGGAATAGCTCACCAAGCGCGAGTATACAAAGGAGGGCGTTGTAAACGTTGGGTTCCATTGTGTAATGCTGGGGCTAGTGCAAGACACCAAGCGCAAGCATATTCCATCATCATCACCATCATCACAATCATCACCACCATCACTTTGCGAGGTACCGCTTTGCAAGGAGCGCAGCGCCAGCAATGCCGCCCAGGGCAGCGAGGCCAAGGCCAACGTTGACGACCTTCTTCTGCTTCTCGTTGGCAGCAATCACCGTCGCGTAGGGGATGCGGGTGAAGGTAACCATGGTGTAGAGGGGGATGAACGTGTTGGGCATGAGCCAGTGCAGCACGTTGTCGACCTTCTTGCGGAACAGAAACCACGACGAGTTGACAAGGTCGCGCATCTGTAGGCACGCGGTGTGTGGAAATGGTCGGAGGGGTGTTGGAATGATGAGTGGGGAGGAATGAGACAAAGACCATCAACTGCAGCGCAGGGACAGTGCAGTGGGTGGTGAAAGCAACACGTTGACACACACACACACACGCACACACACACACACACACACACACACACACACACACACACACAACCTCGATGTAGTTGTAGAGGGCGAGGTCAGCGATCGCATGGACGTCCTTTGTGCGGGTGTCACTGAAGAGCTTCATCGCTTTTTCTGTTCGCAAGCACAACGCGGGTATCAGAGGTGTGGTGAGGCCTTTGGAGGATTTGCTTGCAAGGTTTGTGTGTGTGTGTGTGTGTGTGTGTGTGTGTGTGTGTGTGTGTGTGTGTGTGTGTGTGTGTGTGTGTGTGTGTGTGTGTGTGTGTGTGTGTGTGTGTGTGTGTGTGTGTGGAAATGTACACGTCAGGGTGCGCATGTGCACATCAGGGTGCAGCCACGACAATCTCTGACCAATATCGCTCTCGGCGTTCAAGCAGTCCTCAAGGACGAGGCAGTCCTCAAAGCCCTGGCGGCGGCAACAACAAACAACATGGCAACGGTGCACATGTTGCATAGAGGAGCGGAGCAGTCGCGCACGCAACACACAAAGGGAAATGGCAGGGGTAGGTGAGAATGCATGCAGGCACACTTGGCAAGCAAGCTGCGCACAATCAAACACACGCACACACACGCGCACACACTCTCTCACATCCACGCACACACACAGGTAGCACACACACACACACAACGCACGGCAAGGAAATGAGCCCACTCACGGCGTTCATGCCCTGGCCGTAAAAGGGGACGATGGCGTGTGCGGCGTCACCGAGGAGGCAGCAGCGCGCAGCGGCGATCTTGGAGCACTTGACGGTGATGAGCGGAGACGTCGGGTTGGTGTTGAAGTCGTGGATGAGGTTGTCCCGCCCAAGCAGCGGCAGGCTGTCCGGGAACTCCGCCTCAAAGAACGAAATGATGTCCGCCTGCGCAGATTGCGTGTATGCGTGCATGTAATTGAGTTGTTATTGGGTGCGCGTAATGGATTGTGTGTGTGTGTGTGTGTGTGTGTGTGTGTGTGTGTGTGTGTGTGTGTGTGTGTGTGTGTGTGATTGCCTGCTTTTTCCTCAATGAAGGTGTTACAGATCAGCAAACACGCAAACACAACTGAAACGCACACGCACACAAAGGTGGTCAAACAAATGCATGTGGTATGTACGCACGTCTGTCTTGATGGACTCAAACTTGTCAAAGGGCATGAACAGCGTGATAAGGTCGGCCTGCACACGCACCTCCTTATGGTCTTTGCTGTTGCAATATGTGTGGCCGCGTTGGGTGGAGTGTGTCGGTGTTTGTTAGGAGATGATCATGCTATTTCCAACACACACACACACACACACATAAACACACACACACACGTGCACGCACAAACACAAGTGGCAGCGTTGAGCTCACTCTTCAAAGACGCAGGTGTTGTTGCTGGTGTTCATGCGACGCAGCTTGTGCTGGAAGTAAATCTTGACGCCCTTGTACTTCTCGGCAGCTGAAGATGCAACAGACAGCAGCGTGGCGATGAGTGACAGCGGCAAAGCGACGTGGGCGAAACACTGGGAGGACATAGAGCAGTGTGGAGAAGAAGCAGAGCAAAGAAGTGCAATGCTTGCGCGTGCACGTGAACAAGCACACACACATACCACAAAACAACAAAAGTACCTGTGAGGAGCTCTTCGTTCAGACCGCGCCTGTCCACGGAGAGAATGGCCTGGTCTTTGGTGCCATATGGCTGCTTGGAGAGCTTGCCGCTGTGCGAGTGGATCATGCGCGCGCGCATGGGAATGCCCTTGGACACAATCTGCAACACAGTCATACACGACGGTGATGGTGCGCATGTAAGAGGAGGGGGCGAGTGGTAAGACACGAAGAAAGCAAAGCGAAAGGGAAGGTACAGAGTGAAGCGGCCATGCGCAAGCACTCACTCACACACTCACACACACATACACACTCACACTCAAACACACACTCACATACACTCTCACACATACACACTCACACATACTCACATACACTCTCACACATACTCACTCACACACATATACACTCAAACACACACTCACTCACTCACACATACTCACACATACTCACTCACACTCAAACACACACACTCACTCACTCACACTCACTTACACTCACTCACACACCTTGTGGTCAACGCCAGCATGCTTGAGGGCGTCAATGCCACGAATGGACAGGGCAAGGTTGATGCTGTAGCCGCTGTAGCGCGGCTCCTTCCGCAGGTCTGGACCAGGAAGCAAACACAATTGTGTTGTTCAGTGAACACACAACAAAGGGGTGCTTGCTTCTCGCTCACAAGACGAACAGCGCACGCCAACCCAACGCAGTGCACTTGTGCTCTTACCTTTGCGGGTCTCGAAGAGCAGCACCTCATGGCCTCGCTTGGCCATGAAGCAGGCCTCCAGGGCTCCCACAAGCCCGCCGCCAACGATTACGACCTTCATCTCTGTGCTTGGAGTCGGCTCGCTTGCTTGTTGCTTGCTTGCTTTGGTGTTGCTCGGTGTTGCTCGTGTGTTGTGTCTTGTATCTGGTGTTGCAATGTGCGCAGGAAATTGCGTGGGGAAAACAGGAAAACACGTTTTCCAGAAGCACCCAGCACCCAGCCCACCACACAACACAACACAGTACCAGCCAACCAACAGTCGTGCGAGACGACAGTTCACTGACACACACAACACCACCCACACAACACCCACACACACAACACACAGCAGCCACGAGGATGGTGGCGCCTGTGCGGGTGAGCAGGTGGCTGCTGCAGGGTGCGCGGCGCTCGTTGCACTACCACAACGCCACGCCTCCGCGAGCAAAGTTCCCTTACATCGAGTCTGGTCAGTTGGACACGTCTGTGTTTGTTGCTTGTGTTTTGGTCTGCTCTGCTATCACTGCTATCACTGCTCTCTCTATTGTCCCTGCTGTCGCGTGTCCATCGGTGTCGCACTGCACAGTTCGCTGCATCACTGTGAGTGGCGGTGAAAGCGTGCAATCTCATCCACCGCGTTTACTGTGGTGCCGGTCCGTGGAGCAGCAAAAGGCATCTTCAGCCGCAGCTCGAAAGGCCCTGTCAACGCCGCTGGCCGCAAGCGGTTCCCACACAACTTGATGGACAAAATTGGTCTGTTTGCTTGCCTGCGCATCATTACTGTATGTCCTGCGCTGCTCTTGCTCGTGGTTCCTTGCTTGCTGCCTTCTGCTTGGCTGCAGTTTGCTTCGTATTGACGCCATCGCTTGCACATCATCTCACCGCGCGTGCGCCGTTCACCCACAAACGCTCGCAACGCACGAAACACATTGCGCTGCTGCAGTACTGATGCGGAAGCCGCTGTTCCTCCGCCCCATCATCCTCGTCCCGGCCCTCACCATCACCGCTTACCTCATCTCGCGCATCGAAACCGTGCCGCTCACAGGTCTGTGCCTTTGCGCGTGATTTTGTGTGAGGCTGTCTTTCGCACATCGCTGCTGCTGCGTGCATGTACCTGTCTCCATGTGTCTCGAGCTTGTGTAGCCACGTGTCCGTACGCCAGTGGTCCTGTTCGTGTAACGCGAGACAATGGATTTTATGCCATTGCGCTTTTGCAGGCAGGCGGCGGCTGAAGCCCATCCCGGACTGGCTCGCCGAACCGTTCTTCGCTGCAATGGATGAGGTGTGGTTGCCAGTGCCTGTGCAGCCGTGTCGGTGACTCTTTTAACTTGCTTCCACACCTGCACGTCCATTTGACACCTTCATTCACACACACGTTCACACACACACACACATGAACGCGTGTTGCGGTGAAAGGTGCTGCTGGAGCAAGTGTCGGAAGCGCTACTGCCAACGACGTCGGACGAGCACAAGTTTGTGGCCGATATCGTAGACCGGTTCAAGAAATCGCACGCATCGTTCCTCAAGAAGCTCGAGCAGGAGAACAAGGACGCCGGCATGCCGGGCTGCCACCTCTGCCTCGATGACATTCGCGTTCGTGTGTGTGTGTGTGTGTGCATATGTGTGTGTGTGCGTACGTGTATGTGTGTTTCATGTAAGGAAGACCATCCTTTCCAATACCACCATCCCCAAGCTCCTCACTGTATGTTGATGGTTCACATCACCACCGTCAGTTTCGGGTCGTCGCTTCACGGGATCCGAATGCGTCGTGCACAGGAGGTGATGGTCGCTGAAAAACAGGAGGTGATGGTCGCTGAAAAACATCACAACATAACACGCGCATCATTGTCACCAATCTCCGTAGAGCACTCGCACACACACACACACACACACACACACACACACACACATACACACACTCACACACACACTCACTCGCACACATACACACACACCAACTTCCCCCTTGAATCAGGCGGACTGGTGCTGGTGAACACGGCGCTGCTGGAGCTGTTGAATTACGACGCGGACAAGATTGCACTCGTCATCGGGCACGAGCTCGGCCACTACGTCGCCCGTGCGTTGTAATGGCGGTGGTGGTGGAGGGGGAGGAGGAGAACTACAAGCCGCACAGAAACACATTCACACTCACGCACACACACTTGCACAAAAATAACCGCATTCACACGACGCTTTATTTACGACAGAGCACACCTCGGAAGCGATTGGGCACACGTTTCTTGCGTTTGTGCTCAACAAAATCGTCAGCACGCTGCTGGGCAAGGAACACGCCAGCCCTTACCTCCAATCGTCAGTCTCCAATGCTGTGTTATCCTTGCACGCAAATGGTTATGGTTGTGATTGCGCGTGGTTGTGGTTGTGCGGCTGTGAGAGGCGGTGTTTGCACGTGCGTGTGCACATGCGTGTGCACATTCGTATTCGTTATTCAGTTTCCATCCGCTCTGCTTACAACCGCATTTCACACCAACTGCAATGCTGCTCCTCAGGATGATCGACGTGTTCTTCATGTTGCCAAAAAGCAGAAGCTGCGAGATTGAGGTGATCTACCAGAGTGTGCCGAATTCACGCACGTGTGCGGGCTAAATGTCGTTCACACGTGCCATCTCCTCCATCATCATCGCCACTCTCGCACAGTCCTTTGCTGAAACACCAACCCTCCTGCCTCAACCCCACCTCACCACACCCCCTTGTCTCTCCTCACCACCGCCACCGCAGGCGGACTACATTGGGCTGATCATGGCTGCGCGGGCGTGCTTCAACATCCGCGACGCCCACGACGTCTGGTTTGCACTCGTCCGATACGAGGCCGTCATGCGCGCAGCACAGGAAGGTGCGACCGTGGCAACAGTGGCGGTGGGATGTGTGTGTGTCTGGCTGTGTGTGTGTTTGTATTTGTGTGTTTGTGTGTGTGTGTGTGTGTGTGTGTGTGTCTATCTATCTGTCTGTCTGTCTGTCTGTCTGTTTGGCTGCCTGCCTGTCTATCTATCTGTCTGTCTGTGTGTCTATCTGTCTATCTATCTGTCTGTCTGTTTGGTTGCCTGTGCATATCTATGTGTGTATACATCTCCATGTGTGTTTCTGCACATTCGTCCGCGTCAAGTATCAGCCAGCCACCTCGAACCATGCCTGTCCTCACCACATCACATCACTTCACCGCAAACTCCTCCCCGATGCTGCTTGATCGCTTGATTGCGTCAGGGCGGATGGCAACGCAGGAAGACGTGGAGGAAGTGCTCGAAGGAAACGTCGTGTCAGAGTATGAAACATGACAGCTCTTGCAACGTACAAAGTGTTATCGTAACGTCACAGACGGCAACACACATTCCCGCATACCGACAGCTGCACACTTGAAAGCGTGCACACACACACACACACACACACACACACACACACACACACACACACACACACACACACACACACACACACACACAGTGACGTCAACACTCACTCCACCGCTGCTGGTGTGCGTTTGTGTCTCTCCGTTGTGCTGATGTCAGAACGATGAGCACCCATCCAATGTTCAAATCACGCATCAAGTTCTACGATCCAGATGGCGAATGGATGGAGGTGTGTGTGTGTGTGTCTGTGTCTGTGTGTGTCTGTGTGTGTGTCTGTGTGTGAATTGCATTTGCATGTTTTGCTCACCGCCGCCGCCTCCATGATGGTTGATTGTCTTGCGATTTCAGATTGCGCGGAATGTGCAGCGGGCGCAGTGCGGCGAAATTATCGGTATGTACGCATCCATCCACACGCTTTGGAATTACATTACTGCCCACTTTCACAAACACTTGATCACACAGATACACAGATACACAGATACACAGATACACAGATACACAGATACACAAACTCACACTCGCACTCACACTCGCACCCACTCTCACACTCGCACCCACACTCGCACTCACACTCACACGCACACCAACAACACCCTCTCTGCCTCTCACCCCTGTTTCAGGTGCGCCGAAGGATGTCCATAACCCGCTGCTGTGGTGGCTGCAGGCAGTTCGGCCCGCGTACGCCCCGCCCGGAACAATCTTCCGCGGGGATGAAGATGAGGATGAGGATGACGATGACGATGGTGGTGATGACGATGACGGTAACGGCACAATCGTGATACGGTATCCACAGCCCGTCACGGCATAGCCGACACCGCGGTGCATTGCTCTCTGTTACTCCCCTTTCGGTTACATGACTTCACCCCACTGAGTGTGTGTGTGTGTGTGTGTCTGTGTGTCTGTGTGTGTCTGTGTGTGTGTGTGTCTGTCTGCGTCTATCTGTGCACAATTGTTCTCTGCCCTGTTTCGGCCGTTGCTCGTTGGTGTGAAGTTCATGATGATGATGATAACGCACGACATAAACCGCAAGATAAGAGAACAGTGGGCAGAAGAAACAGAAGCGTGCAGCGACAAGGGGGAGGGGGATCACCGGACAAACATGTGCACGCAACAACTGCGAGCATGCATACACGTACGCGCAGCACACACACTGCAGGCGAGACGGGTGTCGCGAGCAAGCGTATCGATGCACCTCGTGCAATCACATTACTCGGCGTCGTTGCGGACGTGGATGACGTTCTTGACGACATCTGGGGGAGCGTTGCGCGCAAAGTCAAACGCCTCAACAGACTGATCAAACCTGTTGTCGCCACCAACACACACGAGCAGCACATGGTGAGGCAAGAGACCTGAACAAAGGCAAGCAAAGCACAAGCAATACCCTTGTGTGTGTGTGTGTGTGTGTGTGTGTGTGTGTGTGTGGCTGTGTGTGTGCGTGTGTGTGTGTGTGTATGTGTGTGTGTGTGTGCGTGATTGAATATTACACTTTTGTGTGCACACGTACGTCCAGTGCTTTGAGATGATTGGCGTGAGGTCGATTGCGCCGGAACTCAGGAGATTGATGGCTGCCGGGTACACCCCCGCATACCGGAAGATGCCCATCATCGTCAGCTCTTTCGTCTGTCAGATATTCAGCATATGTGACACGTGTGTGCGTGATGGTTGTAGATGAGAGTGCAAATGTGTGTACGCGTGCATGAGAGAGTGTGTGTGTGTGCGTGAGAAAGCGTGTGTGTGGTTGAGCTCCGTGAGCAGTGCACCGAGCTGGCACATGCATGGCTCTAACAAAGTAGTACAACAATCCCCTTGCTTGTAGGTATGCGTGTTTGTCAGAACATTGAAGCTCACGAGCATGAGGCCGACGTCGAGCGGGACGGGTTGCGCTGCGCATCCAATCAGGATCACACGACCCCCAATACCAGCAAGCTGCAGCATTCATATGAAGACGCGACCGTGGCGTGTGAAAATGGCGCTGTGAGCGGACAACGGGGTGGCGCTGTGGCAGCGCCCGATACAACAAGTAGCAACAACACACTGAAACGCATGCGGAACCCAGCGTTTATGCATCCGTAGATGCACATTGACGCGCACAGTACACCCACACACACACACACACACTCACACTCACACACTCACTCACTCACTCACTCTCACACACACACTCACTCAGTCACTCACTCACTCACTCACACACACTCACTCACTCACTCACCCACTCACTCACTCACCCAAACACTGACTCACGCAAACACACACACACACGCACCAGCAATAACAGCACGTGTGCGTTCCCACCTTGACGGCGTTTGCTGCGACGTCGTGGTGACCGGCGCATTCAAAGACGACATCGGCGCCCTTCCCACCAAGATGCGCCTTCATCTCATCAATCTCGCTGCCGCCAGCAGCAGGAAATGCCTTCACCTTGCCTGGGGCGAGCGACTCCGCAATGCTCAGCTTTGCAGGGGAGAGGTCGGAGACAAGAACACGCGAGCAGCCCGCAGCGAGCGCAGACAGGACCGTCACCATTCCAATGGGGCCCGCACCGAGCACAGCAGCCTACGGTGGCGGCGTGAGGTGTTGAGGCGTTGGGGTGGAGTGATGGCGTCGGAAGTTGAGCACACGGGTGTTGTTGATGAGATGGGATGATGAATAATCACAGAGACGCCTGCGTTCATGTGTGCATGCATCAAGTGTCCACCTTAAAGGACAACCACACACACACACACACACGCACACGCACACGCACACGCACGCACACGCACACGCACACACACACGCACGGACCGTTGCGCCTGGGCGGATCTGGGCCTTGGTAGCGGCGTGCATGCCGACGGAGAGGGGCTCCACCAACGCACCAACCTCCAGCGGGACATTGTCGGGGAGCTTGAACGTGAATGCGCCAGGATGCACCACGGACGGGCGGAGGCAGCCGTGCCCAGCCTTCCACGGTGACCCTGCGTGAAGATGGTGGTGTGGTGCAATGAGCGCACGTGTCCAACAACCAAGAGCATGGAAAAGACACGGTCATCCACACCAATACACAGCTCTGACGAGCGGACGGACTGACATGACAAAACAAACAGAAAAGATAAACAGGTACACAGACAAATAGACAGGTCTTCACACAGAGACAGCGGCAGAGGCAGAGACAGCGGCAGAGGCAGAGGCAGAGACGCGCGCACGCACGCACACGCACACATACACACACACACGCACACGCACACGCACACACACACGCACGCACGCACACACACGCACGCGCACACACGCACGCGCACACACGGACGCACATACGCATACCTGCTCCGTTGATTTGGGTGGCGTAGTCTGCGGGTGGGGTGGCCCAGAAGCGGACGTTGGGATCCAGGTTGTACTTGCCAGCAAGCGTGATATCGCTGCGGAAATCAGGCACACCCGGCTCCATGCACACGCGATCTCCAACCTACAACATCCACAGCATGCACGCGTCCACACACACACACACACACACACACACACACACACACACACACACACACACACACACACACACACACACACACACACACACACACACACACACGCAAACACACACACACACACACACGCATAGGGGCGCTGTGAGGGAAAGGAGGAGCGCTCATGAAGAAGATGCCATCATTTCAGGCTCAACAGCTGCTCACCTTAAGGTGTGTGACGTTCTTGCCAACCTCCGTGACGATGCCAGATGCCTCGTGGCCGAGGATCATGGGCTCGTTCACATAGAATGGTGGGATGCTTCCATGCTGGTTGGTCGTTGGAAATGAGGTGGGAACAAACAAAAGCGAAAGCAAACATGTGCACGTAAGCCCGCGGCACGAGGACACAGACTGACACACACACACACACATACACACACACACATATACACACACATACACACACATACGCACACACACACATACACACACGCACACATACGCACACGCTCATGCACACACACAGATACAAGCGCACATACAGGCACACCTCGTAGTAGTGGATGTCGGAGCCGCAGATGCCGACTTTGTGAATGTCGATGCGGACATCATCGTCGGTGAAGGGCTCGTCCACATCAATCTCGCGGAGCTCGAGGTCATCCACCTTGTTCAGCACAAGCGCACGGGTCATCGCCGTCCGCCTTGCCGCCACAGTGACAGGGCGAACACAAGCAGCAGCAGCAGCCACAGCACCAGCTGCGGCCGCAGCAGATCGAAGCAGCGCCATCTCTCTCTTCTTTGCTTCTGTGTTGTTTTGGTTTTTGGACGACTGTTGCGCAAGAAAACAACGTGACGCTGACAACGAGAATGACTCCGTTGTGCAGCGGCGTTCCTCTTGCTCGGTTGCAGAGTGCACTGCTTGCTCTACTACTTGGGCTGGTGTTGAGCGTGCATGCCCTGCGGGTGCCACAGCCTAAGCTCCGCGTGTATGTGGTGGAGCCGCCAACGCTGGCTCAACGGCATCACGAGTTCGTGTCAGACGGAACGCTGGAAGATGCGTTTGGCACGGCGCTGTCTGCACGCGACGTTGTGCGGGCGCTCACGCCAATGCACAACAACATGTCGGCGGCCGCACTGGAAACCCTGGCGCTGCTTGCACGACGCGGCTGGCTGTTTGACACCAATGAGTATCGCATGGCTGCGATGATGCACCTTCGGCTGTGGCTGTCGCCGCTTCGCGTGACCTCCATCACGGACGCCGACGTCGTGTTCGCCTACGGCTGCACCCGAAACTACGCTGCTTTCTACCAACAAGAGTCCCGGCTTCTACGCAATGGCACGCTGTCCCACAGACTACCCCGCTTCCACGTGAGAAGAAGGCGAAGAACGCGCTTGCCTGCATGCAAACCATGAACAGCCTCAAAAGGGCTGCGCATGGCCCCAAATGCAGAAATGCCTGCAGTTGCCTGCCCAACTTTCCATCAGCACACACAGCACACATTCAACTCTGAACGCTGATGAATGCACGTGCACCCGCGTTGTCCGCCCCGTGTCATGTGCGTTGCCACGCTTGCCTTGTCCTCATCCCATGCTTCCCCTGCCTACGGTTCATACTTGTTTGCCTGATTATTGCGTGGGAAGTTCAGCTCGCGGTGGTGGCGAGAGAGCTACGAGAAGCACGCTGCCGGGATATCCAGAGAAGCATGCGACCTCAACAGCAACACCTTGGTATCGCTGATTGATCGATACGAGGACTGCCCATCTGGCCTCGCATGTGCACCCTGGGTGATGGCATGTCCGACTGGCGTCCATGCTCCTCTCCACCTTGGCTGGGCCGGCAACTACGCAAGCGTGTTTCCGCAACTCTTCAACAAGTCCACCCAAACCCACCGCACCCATCTCCTTGCCTTTCAAGGCAGCATTGACCGCAGGTACGAGAGCACGCGCCCCCATGTGTGCATGTGTGCATGTGTGTGTGTGTGTGTGTGTGTGTGTGTGTGTGTGTGTGTGTGTGTGTGCGTGCGTGTGTGTGTGTGTGTGTGTGCGTGTGTGTGTGTGTGTGTGTATCTGTGTTTACTGAGTGTTGCTCTTCAGCATAAGTGCGTGCGTGCATGCATGTACAATATGTTCCAGTGTGTTCATGAGATCATCCAAATGCTTGTGCTCGAACAGCTGGCGGCTGAAGCGCTATCGCAAACGGCTTGTGCGAGAGCTGCAGCAAACGCCCAGCTCAGCACTGGTGCAGCGAGGGCGCGTGTTGGGTCTGAATGACTTGTTCTTCACCCCAAACCTCGCCTCAGGGCAACGCCGCAGTGACTACTTCAACCCAGGACTCACCATGCTCGCAACTTGTACGTGTGATGTGTACTGAGAGGTGATGCGTGCGATTTGCGTGCATGTGTGATGCACACCGTCACACGTCCACTGCAATGTGTGCGTGCTTGCGTGTGTGTGTGTGTGTGTGTGTATGTGTGTGTGTTTTTCATACTCCTTTTGGCATAGCTCTCTTCCACGGCTGATGCACCCAGTGGTTTTGTTTCCTCCGCTCTTGCCGCCTTCCCGCCTCGGCCCACTTATGACCCATCATCAGACCTAGACAGCCAATTCTGCCTGCAGCCGCCCGGAGACACGGATTTGCGCCGTGCCATGTTCGACTGCATGCTCATGGGCGGCATCCCCGTCATCCTGGAGCTGCAGCGACGGGCCATGGACAGCGTGCTTGCAGGCATCTGGATCAAACACGATCATGATCACAGCAACCAAGAAGAAGGTCTTCACGCCTTCCCCAGCATGACTGCCTCCGAATCCTCTCCCTCTATGGGTTCAGGCCGCAGCGCAGGGAGACTTGATGATGTGGTTGTGGTAGTCGATACAGATGTGACCGCCCCGGCGTTGTATACAGAGCTGCTGGGTCGCTTGGAATCTGGGTGGGTTGACGCAGCACGTGCTCGCCTCGGCCGGGCTGCGCATCGCCTCCAGCTCTCCACACCACCACGTGATGATGTAATGCGCTCGCAGCGATCATCATCACGCAGCGTTACGTTGCACGACCATGCGGGTGATCCTCCGGATGCAATGGACGCGGCCATGACGCTGCTTGCACGCACTTTACCCAAAGGCAACACACGTACAGCCCGTTGGGGAGGGTGAACAGTGTCATCATATTGCTCTTGAATTGAAGTATGCTCGTGACGAGAAGTATGCTGTTGATTATACACGACGTGTGTGTGTGTTTGTGTTTGTGTGCGAGTGTGTGTCTGCACTTGCTGCCTTTTTACTCGATCCATTTAATTGCAACACCTTTTACTACGCGCTTCTTCACTAGCGATAGGTATGTGTTCTGTGTTGGTTCGTGTCAAACTGTGCTGCAGCTTGTCACAATAACAACAAACCAACAACGTCATGTTCGGTGCACCAACGTAAATTGTAATGTTTATGCACCGACAACAACAACAACAACAACAACAACAACAAAAACAACTTCAATCATCAGGACACGGTGTACCCTGCATCCACGTCGTGGCCGTCATCACCATCAGCGCGAAGAGCAGACGCGGGCATGAGGCGACGAATGATGGTGAGCATCTCTTCCCTGGACCTGTCGACGAGAACAACGTCCGGCCACTTGTGTCTGCGTGTCTTCATGCGGCAGTTGTGCAGTCGAAGCGTCGTCAGCCTCGCAGGCATGTAATCAAGACTGTCAAAGGTGCATTTTTCCAGCAGCAGGCGCTGCACCCCCGCGAACGGGGCAAGCGAGTTAATATGACTCTCAAGCACGCGGCACGTGGCGACATTTCTTGTGCTGTAAGGATTGGTCCTCTCATCCATGTTTTGCAATTCTGCGTTGGCCACGTTGGTGAGGGAGCGCACCTCACCATGAACAGCATACACTGCCTCCGCGGCGTTGATGGTAATGTGCCCGGGGCAATCAACGACTGAAACAGCTCGGCAGCCATCAAACTTGGCGAAGATGGTACACAGCCCCGCAAACACATGCTTGAGGTGCGGCAGCTTGTCAACTCCTTGGAGTGAGCGCCGGTGACCCATTCCGACGGCGCTCAGGTGCCGCACATGCGGGGCGTAATGATGAACGTCGAGACTCGAGCTGTACATCTTGCACTTGAGTGTCGCCACGCACGGTGGCAAGGGGTTCGCGAGGAGGCCGGTCGAAAAATCACAAATTTTCACGCGCACGTGCGGGGGAAGCGTGTGCAGTGCTTGCTGTATGCGATGCGATAACGATGCAGGTTTGTTCAGGATGATGGTGTCAACACGCTGGCACAGCCGCTGCAAGCTTTCGCCTTCCAGGTCTATGTCGATGTCAACAATGTCTGCGTGCTCAAATGAAGGCAGCGTCTTCATTCGTGGGCATCCGCGTACTCGCAACAAAGACAGATGCACACCACCAGCGCCGATTACGTCACCATCACTATCACCGTCGCGACTGTGTCCAACGGCATCGTGTCCCGTACCATCACCGCAAACGATGCGCTGTAAGTTGTGGCAATCAATGACCCGGATGGTCGTGGCGTTTGGCACATTCAGCGTGTTTGTGAGGCTGTGCAGGTGTTTGAGCCAGACGCGCGTGCTTCGCAGTGTCAAGGCTTCCATGGAAGCGTTCGGCAAGCTGACCAAGTGCACTTCTGGGACATTGCTGACTGCAGAAAGGTCGGAGGCGTTTGATCTGTACAGCTTCACCGTCTGGGCGCGCTTCAAAGGGCCCAGATTGGTGACGCGTGGGCAGTTGTTGAGAGTGACACAAGGCACGCCCTCGAGGGCGTCAATGTGTTCCAGCCTCGACTCCCCAAACCCAAGCAACTCCACGTCGCGAACGCCTCCAAACTGGCCATGGATGCGGGTTTGTTGCTCGCTTGCCGGGTTCCAGGACACCCGGTTCACGCGTGTCAACTCCAGCCGGTCAACTGGGCCGGACGTTCGCAGTTCAAGCCAGTCGATGTTGCGCAGGCGTAGCACTGGAATGCGGCTGGTGGCACTGATCTCCAGAAACTCCACCTGTGGATGGCCGAGCACACCAAGACTGTGATCGAGCCGAGTGATGGCATCCTGCGTTGCATGCTGGATGACCAACGAAACCACTGCAGGCTTCAAAATTGGAGCTGCAGTCGTCGCTGCAGAGGAGGCCAGTGTTGCTGGAGTTGTTGCTGAAGTTGCTGGCGTTGGGCTCACGGGCAAACTGCTGTGCTCTGCCCGTGTATCTGCTAGTGCTTCCGCGTGCTGGGCGGCACCATCGGTGGCGGCGGACGACACATTGCTGCGTGCCTGTTGCACGGCGACGTGTGATGTATGAGCGGATGGTGCGCCCTGTTCCTCCTCATCCTCATCCTCGTCATCATCCTCATCATCATCATCCTGCTTCGGCTGCAAGTGCTGTTGCTGCTGCTGAGGAGGATCACGGCTGGCCCATAGCTCCAGGCGCTGAAGGGTGACGAACTTCAAGCGACCGAAGCGGGCAAAGTCGTTCCGGAACGAAGGCGAGAAGGAGGATGCGTCTGACACTGCATCGCAAAGGTACATGCAGAAGGTGGCGTCCCACGTGACGCCAAGCCACGAGTACACGAGAAAGCGGGTTTCAAGCCACGCCTTGAGCTTGGCCGGCGGCATGCTGCTGATGCCCGCGCGCTGTGCAGGTGTGCTTTGCTCCGGCTCGTCATCGTCGGCATGCTGTGGCTGTGGCTGTGGCTGTGGCTGTGGCTGCACGGTGGTGACCTCCTCTTGAAACGAGTCCAGCCACTGCGTGCGGAAGAGAAAGTCAGGCGTGACGCTATGGCGTGAAAACGCTGGGATGTTGGCGTTCGCGGGCATGGCGACTTGGCGCAGGTACCATTTTGGAAGCGCCCACGGCAAGTCGTGGTATAGGAGGCGGCACGTCATCATCAGGTTGAAGAAGGACCTAAGTCGGTCTTTCTTCGCATGGTGAGACACGCGATGTCGCTCCTCCTCCTCCTCGTTCGCCTTCTCATCACCGCCATCCAGCAAGTGCCTGGCAACAAGTACCCAACACTCTGTCACACCAATGGGCAGCGACATCTCATGTGTGTGTCTGTGTGTGTGTGTGTGTGTTTGCGTGCCCTTGTTTATTGGGGAAAACTCGCTGAAATCTTACACTGCTCCCGGCTGTGTGTGTGTGTGTGTGTGTTGTGTCTTTGGCACTGTGTGCTGAAAATTGCATGAAGACATTCATCAATCGTCACAACTCACACCGCAAACGTTTGCTGCGACACAGCCGACACCAGAACCAAGCAAGCAAGCTTGCACCCCCCACACACACTCACTCGACGCGAAGATGAGTGGGTTGCCAAAGGACGACAAGCCACGCACGCTTGAGGCCATCACAGCGCGCCTCTCCGGCCAAGTGCAAGAGAAGATTGGTGCATGCAAGAAGTGTGGCTTTGGTACGTGGGTTTGCAAAGCGTGTGCAAAGTGTGTGCAAAGTGTGTGCAAAGAGAGCCTTGTTTTGTGCATGTGCGTGTGAACAAATGCCTGGTGTCCCTGCTTTTTGTGGCGTCAAAACGACATTGCGCATCCTGACACACACACACACACACACACACACACGCACACACACACACACACACACACACACACACACACACAAAACAGTTGGTCATCTGGCGTTCCAGTGCAGGAACTACATTCCTGTTGGTGACCAGGGACAGGTGCATTTGGATGTCTCCTCCACGTCCAGTGACACAGACTCCGAGGAAGACAACGATCTTGGCCGCCTTTCCGATGATGAACTGTGAGTCACACGAGTGCTTTGTGGTCTCGTGCGAGCTGTCGTGTGAGCAAGCAAAGCCACACACACACACACACACACACACACACACACACACACACACACACACATAACTTCAAACAAACCCACGTTCACTCCCTCACTCTCTCACCCCCACACTCTCTCACCCCCACACTACCACACCCCCACTCGTTTACTCACTCACCCCTGTGGTGTTGATGTAACGTCACGGCAACAGAGATCGCTCACGCTCACGCTCGCGCTCGCCTCTTCGTGAGGTAAGTCGAACGGACAGTCTGTACCCATTCAATGTCTGCTTGCATGTGCACAGCTCGTCATTGTCATCCCATATCACCACTCTGACCTTTGCCCCCCTCTGTATGTTCCACGGACTTGCATGGCATGGTCTGCATGTGCTCCGCAGAAATCGGAAAAGGTGAGTCGTGTTTTGATGCGATCTGTGCCTGCTGTCTGGTGGCTTGGGCTGTGATGGAGGGAGGGCGGAACAAGAGGCCATGTCCGAAGCACCATCCAACCACACAGACACGCAGACACAGACACGCAGACACAGACACAGACACACACAAACACAGACACAGACACACACTCACACTGACACAGACACACGCACACACTGACACACTCTCACTCACACGCTCACGCAATACCGCAACAACAGCACTACATGTCGCGGCGGGAGCGAGACCGCCTGGGCCGGCGCGGGTCAGCAAGCGACAGCGACGAGAAGAGGGGCAGGAAGAAGCACAAGAAGAAGGACAAGAAGAGACACAAGGAGAAGAAGAGGCACAAGGACAAGAAGAAGCACAAGCACAAGAAGAGCAAGAAGAGTAAGCACAGGCACAGCCGCGACGATTAGTACACGTCGCTTCTTCCCAATGTCAACTCCCCGTTTTTGTCTCCAAACCCAAACTGTACATTCCGCCCTGGTGTGTGTGTGTGTGTATGTCTGTGTGTGTGAAGGGATTTCACGTTGATTGATCGATGAGTAAACAACAGCTCCCTAAGACGGCTCTGTAATGACCTTGCCACGACACATGCAGGCACATGCCACCTTTTCTCCACCAGTGAGGGTTGGCGGCACGTGGCGAGACAGCCACATGTTCGAGCGTGGGGTGGCAAGCTCAATAAGGACACGCGGAAGGGTGTAGCAGGCACAAGAAGCGAGCACAAGACACACGAAACCAGGAATAGGAGGAAAGAGGAGGGAAGAGGAAGGAGGGGGAGGGAAAGAAGGAGAGGGGCGGGGGGGGGGGGAGAGAGAAAGAGAGGAAGAGAAAGAGGGAAGGGAAAGAGGGAAGATAAAGGGGGGGGGGGGTGCAGAAGGACAAACCAGCAAGCGATCAAGCAGCATGACACGGCATGGTATGCCGAGGATAGTGAAGAACAGATTACAAAGAAGAGAAGAAGAGGGCAAGTGTAAGCCCGTATGACAAACGCAAAGCAGAGGGGTGCGAGAAGCAGCAAAAAAGAAAGAAAGAAAGAGGGGAGGAGAAGAAAGCAGGAGAAGGAAGCACGAGAGGAAAGAGGTGCGTAACCTTCACTGCAGACGCACGCAAAAGCTTGCGAGCAAAACCAAAAGCAAAACACGCGAGCGAGGAAGAATCTAAAACTCCAATGAACATATGGACGGACTCTTGCGGGTGCAAATAGAGTGGGGCACGCGGCGGATGGGCGCCGGTGGAAGATCAAGCTCATCATCAAGCTCATCATCACGACAACAACGACGACGATGAAGGCAGGGGCACTCGTAACAACGGCGACCACGGACCACCCACGACCAACAACACCAGCGACAACGACGACGATAGTAACAAATCACCATCACCATCATCACCATCACCATCACCATCATCATCACCACCGCCAGCCCCGCTCAGTGCCCGGCTTGCAGCTGCGACAGGAAATGGTCAAAGCAGACGGCAATCGCCTCCCGGCCATGAAGTTGCTCCGCCTGATTGTGGTGGCGGTGTGTTGTGTGTGTGTGTTGTGTGTGTGTGTGTTGTGTGTGTGTGTGTGTGTGTGTTTGTGTGTGTGTGTGTGTGTTGTGTGTGTGTTGTGTGTGTGTGTGTGCACGGGTGTGCGGGAAAGAAATGGTCGATCAAGCCAAACACCGGCCAGCAAAAGGAAGGAAATGCAACTGGCGCCGACCTTGAAGTGGTCAAAGTGGTGTTCCAGGAGAACTGCCAGCTCTCGCGCAGCAATACGGTCCTCACGCGTCATCTGGGTGGAATGCACAACCAAAGGCATGGGCGAAAGGGATGACACAAACGAACCAACCAGCCAAAGCAAACAACTAAAGCAAACAAAACAAACAACCAAAGCAACAAACAACCAAAGCAAACAAACAACCAAAGCAAACAAACAACCAAAGCAAACAAACAACCAAACAAACAACGCCTCCAGCTGACCTTTTCGTATCCGGGCCAGCCCATGGCGGTAAGGAGCCTGCGCTCGCGTGGAGTGACGGCAGAGGGCAACACGGCGTCGCACAGCACTACCGCAGCAGCACCTTCCTCTTCCTCTTCCTCTTCCTCATCAACCACAGGCTCCTCCACCTCCTCGCCAGTGTCGTCGTCGACAAACAGGATTGAGGGAAAGGGCATGGTCAGCACGGTGTGGTGGCCAAGGTTGACGGCCATCGTCACGCGCTCGTCGTAGTCCACGTACCCGTGCTTCGTGCGCCGGATCCCAGCAGCATCAACATAGCTGCCGCTGCCATCGCCGTCGCCATCAGCTGCGGCTGCGTCCTCATCATCATCATCACCACCCCCACCGCCACCTCCGCCGCCACCACCACCTCTGCCGCTCCCATCTCGCGTCTTGCGATGCTTCGGTTGACCTGAGGCGCTGCCGTTGGCCCCACTGCCACCACTGCTGTTGTTCTTCTTGGAGCCCTTGTTCGATGTGCCTCCTGCTGCTGCTGCTGCGGCTGGTGCGTGGTTCGGATGTTTCTTCCCCTTGGTGCCGCCTGGCGGGGCGTGCCGCTCGTCCGACGGCTCAATCATCTTGCTCTCCCAATTCGCCGCCACCGTCTCTGGCGTGAGGGGCCGCTTGTGTTTCTGCTGCTGCTGCTGCTGCTGCTGCTGTTGCTGCTGCTTCTGCTGGGATGAAGAAGACGATGACGACGCGGCTGACGCGGCGTCGCCACTCGACGCTTTGGACTTTGCACCTTTCTGCTGCTGCTGCTGCTGCTGTTGCTGCTGCTGTTGTTTACCCTTGCGGCCCTGCTTCTTCTTCTTGCCTTGTTGCTGCTGCTTGTTCTTCTTCTTCTTTGACTTTTCATCCATCTCCATCTCCATCAGGAGCTCATACGCCTTTGCAGCTACACACGCACGTCCCCATGTGTGTGTGTGTGCGTGTGTGTTTGAGAGGGAAGTGAGACAAGGGCCTCTAGCGCAAGTGACAGCCAATGACAAGGAACGTACGCATGCGCGTGTGTGTGCGTGCATGTGTGTGTATGTGTGCACAAGCAAAGCATACCACTCTTCGCCGAGGCGATGCTGGTCAGGCGCGAGTGGAGACACGACGCCAGCAGCTCATACGTCATCATCAGCGTCTGGTTGCCAAGTCGCAGCCCCTGGCAAGTTACATGCGCAGCAGCAGCAGCGAGAGTGGCAGCAGTTGGCAGGAGGTTAGCGGTCGGGTGTGCGGCATCAATAGGTGAAGCGCCATCGTGGGCTGTTGGTTACAAAAGTCGGTAAATAAGGCAATGTGCGCACACACACATGCACGAAACCAGCACATGCATGCACTGTCCCTCAATCATCCCTCCCCCCTCCGCTCCTCCCAAACCACGACGACGACCACCACGATCAACTCACGCGGTAGAGGTCGAAGAGGCGCTGCCAGACGAGCTTGCCCATCATGATGACAATCTCCGTTTGCGCCTTCTCGTTCGACTCCGCGTGCCGGTCCGTTCGCACAGCCTCCCGCCGCGAAAAGTCTGCCCAGGCGCGACGACGATGGTGGCGATGGTGATGGTGATGGATGATGGATGATGGTGGTCGGGCGTCAGGAAGGGGGGGGGGAGGCTCGTTTACACAGCTCATGCACACACACACACACACACACACACACACACACACACACGCACACACACACACACACACACACGCACACACACAATGCACACACACAATGCACCATATGCGTTGGCACGTACTGATAATCTCGACGAGGTAGTCACGCTCGGCGCAGACATGGACGACCTTTGCCAGGCGGTTGTATGACAGGCCCTCAAAGATGATTGGATCGTATCTGCAGTGGTGATGATGGGGTGCATAGGAGGCAGCAACACGCATGCGTAAGAGCGCATGTGGGTGCAGGTGTGCGGGGGCCCTTGCAGTCACTCTCACTCTCACCCATCCGTCACACACACACACACACACACACACACACACACACACACACACACACACACACACACACACACACACACACACACATGCACACACACACACACGCACCACAGTGCTTGGGCACTATTCAACTAAACGGCAGCAGGCGATCAACTGACTTTGTTTCTTCGTAAAACTGCGCAGAGCTCTCGTACTCGCTCCAACGCATCTCCTGAAAGACTGTGAATGCGTCGTTCACCTGCGACAATCACACATGTTCATGTACACGAAGTGAGTTTCAGTGTCATCAAAACGATCACGAACGCCACAAGCCCACCACACCGATGAGGAACAGATGCACACGCACACACAGACACACTCACACACTCTCTCACACGCACACACACATACACACTCTCACACGCACACACACACACACACGCACACATACACACAGCCTCCCCTCCGTTTCCCCAACCGCGTCTTTGCATCGGCTGCAGAGCTTCTCGAGGTGGACCGTGAGCGCATCCTCCACGCCCTGCACCTTGAACGTCATAATCTGCGATGCCAGAGACAGCAGCAGCAGTGGCAGCATCAGTGGCAGCAGTAACAGAAACGGGGCGGAGAGATTGCAGCATGAGCATGAGCACTCATGCAGCCTGTGCCGACGGTCGCACCCCGTCCACAGGCGCAACCAAACCCAGTCGCAGTCAATCACGGTCACACCGCAGACCACCAATCACAGGCGCCACCGTTGTCACTGGCCGCACCTTCTCCTTGCACAGGTGGGGCACGTCTGGCCAAAAGTCGAGCCAGAAGATGTTGTCGCTGCCCTCAAAGGTGAACTGCGACTCCACGCGATGCAGCTCACACCGCTGGCCGCGCAGCTTCATGTCGAGCGACCGCCTGCAACAACACAGTGTGCATTGTGTGTGTGTGTGTGAGTGTGATCGTGCGGTGCGTGCGTGTGTGCGTGTGTGTGCGTGCGCGCGTGTGTGTTTTTGCGAGTGTGAGTGTGAGTGTGTGTGTGTGTGTGATCGTGCGGTGCGTGCGTGTGTGTGTGCGCGTAAGAGAGATCGTGTGTGAGTGAGTGTGTGCATGTGTGAGTGTGTGTGTCTAAGGGTAGACTGAGAGCAGCTCTGTGCAGCATACGAAGACGAGCAACGCACTTGTCGATGCAAAGGGCGTGGTGCGTCTGCTCCAAGTTTTTGAGCACGTCTGCGTTCAGATGTGCTCGGCCAGACGGTTCAATTGCCAGCGGCTGCAGCGGACACGATCACAGGACACCCCCAGGCACCCGTAAGCATTATCGTCATCAGTGTGGTCGTCAACAGCGGTGGCAGCAGCAACATCCACGAAGTGCGTGCAGGTCAAGCACAGCGCGTGATGAGGGTGGCGGGTTTGTCGACATGGTCGCGCCAAGGCAGCGAGCGGCTTACCTCGATGGAACCGTCGATGGTGGTGCGCTTCTGGGCCTCTGGTGAGGCGAGGGTGTTGATGAGCTTGGTCACGGCACGGCGGCAGCTCACACAGGGGATGTGGTCAGTGCTTGCCTTGTTGATTACATCCTTCGACACAATCAGTGTCGAGTGCGCCTTGCAGTACATCTCCCATGCCTGCACGGGCGTGTGAGCAACCACGGCAGGGGAGAGAAGCGTGGGCGCGCGCGCAAAACCACGTGCGTTGGCGGTGAGGTTAGTCCAGGTCCTGACAACAAGGCACGGTGCAACTGCATACAAGACACACGACATCGGAAAGAGCAAACGCAGCGGGATCGACACAGCGCACAGCACCTGTTTGAAGGCATCGCTCAAGGGATCGAGGCGCCGTTCCGACAGCTGGCTCTGTGCGACAAGCTGGGCACGCCAGCAAGGAAAGCATCAAAAGGCAGCATTTACACGAGCATCAGGAACCTCGAAGCACTTCGCAAAGGGAAGCAGCAGGATGACAGCACCGACAGCAGGATGACAGCACCGACAGCAGGGTGGCCGACAACACATACACACACACACACACTCACACACACACATACTCTCACAAACATAAACCATATCGACAAACGGACCGAGTACAGCGCAAGTGTAACGCAACAAGGCACAAGCACAGGCGTGGAGGGCGTTTGGGCGCGCAAACATGGACATTCTGAACGAACCAGTAGTTCTCCGAGGTTGTCGATGACAAACTCGCCCTTTTCGGTCTCCACACTCCCGAGCTGGGTTGCGTCAACAGCCTTTAAGATGCGAGGCAGGGACGGAGACATGTCATCGTCGTCATCCACATGCTCTGCCATGGCTGCCTGCTGCGCTCCGTGCGTGTGCTGTGCTGTAGCTGAGTCCTGCAACACTCACACACACACGTCACGTGAGAACGGCTGTCCTGGTTTTCTGGTTGCGCCCGCGTGCAACCGTGCTCCCACGAAGAAACCAGTCGAGCGTCGCGGCACGTCAAGTGTGCACAAAGGCGAGTGAGGAAGGGGGACGGCTGGCCACAAGTGATCGACACACGAGGAGGAAGGGATCACTGGTCGAGTGAGACAAGCAAGCAAGGGACGCTGTAAATGGCAGCGTGCGGCCGCGGCTTCTTGTTGTTGTGCCGCTCCGAAGTGCAGAGTTTACGACACCACTATTTGACGTTCGACTGAAATAAGTCGAGGTGTGTGTGTGTGTGTGTGTGTGTGTGTGTGTGTGTGTGTGTGTGTGTGTGTGTGTGTGTGTGTGTGTGTGTGTGTGTGTCTGTCTGTGTGTGTGTGTGTGTCTGTGTGTGTGTGTGTGTGTGTGTCTGTGTGTGTGTGTCTGTGTGTGCGTCCCCTCTCCTCCTCCTTTGCCTTCATCTTCCGCTGCTTCGCGTGCCCCACATTACAGCCACGTTCATGCGCCAGTTGCTCTGGATTCCCGTTTGAGGAAAGAGACATGAACAGCAAAACAAGAGCAGCAGGCACAGCAACACACACACACACACACACACACACACACATCTCAAAGCAAGAGTCATTAAGCACAAACGACACGCCCTCCCTGTCGCGCTTCAGCTACACGCACGCACTCTCTCAACTCGCCTGGGTGCATCCCTTCCATCATCGCCCTTGTCCTGCTCCTCCTGCTCCTGCTCCTGCTCCTCATCCTCATCATCATCTCCATGCTGTTCTTCTTCCTCCTACCCTCGTTGCTTGCATTGCGCGCGGCGTTCATCTGGCCTTGACGTTGAGCCACATGCCGTGCTTTGGGCAGACGGGGACAGTGCGCCCGTGCTTCTCCCCAACGTTGCTCTGTGCCGGCTCGAAATCAAAGCGCAGCATCATCAGCGCCATCACAATGCGCGCCTCGAGCAGCGCAAGGTGTTGCCCTGCACACGTGGCGGGGTGAAAGGTAAGCAGCGGAGGTGGTGGTGTGAGTCATGGTGGGTGGTGCAGGGAAGCACGTATGACATCAGAGTGCAACGTAACGAGGTGGAACAACTTAAAACAACAACAACAACAACAACAACAACAACAACAACAACAACAACAACAACAACAACAACAACAACAACAACAACAACAACAACAACAACAACAACAACAACAACAACAACAACAACAAGTCTCGTTGCACGAAGGAAGTGTGCATTGGTATTGTTGCCTTCTTCCCCGCTCCCTTCTGCCTTGTGGTCAAGCTACAGGCAAGCGTGCAACGCACGACAAACACGGGCGACGCACCGAGGCAGTTGCGTGGGCCGACAATAAAGGGGAGGAAGGCGCAGGGATCGTGCTCCTTCTCAAAGCGCTCAGGCATAAACGTGCGGGGCTTCTCCCACACCTCAGGGTTGTTGTGCACGGCCTGGCGCACGTGGGGTGAAGGTGTGATGGTGTGGTTGTGCCCGTGGTGAGCGGGAGAGAGGAGAGAAATGTAGATGTGTTGCAGGGGACACAAACCTGTTGCAGTGGGCCAGGCAACGGCAACACCCAACACACACACACACACATACACACACACACACACACACACACACACACACACACACACACCAGCCAACCTTGATGTGGATGAAGACCTTGCAGCCTGCCGGGACGCGCACACCGCAGAGGTCGTCCTCCTCCACGGCTTCGCGCGTCACAACGGGGACGAGTGTGTAGTAGCGCAGCGTCTCCTGCAATGCGCAACAGAAGCGAGAAGCGGTGGGTGAGTGGTCGTGATCATGGCAGGGGCGGTGGTCGTGCAAAGTTGCGGTCGCGGTGATGTGGGGGAGGTGCAGAGAGAGACATGCTGCTGGTAATGACAACGATGGACGGGAGAATGGATCGCGGAGAACAAGGCACTGCAACAAAACCACCAACCAGGTGTGTGTGGTTTTGTGTGCGTGCGAGCGTGTGTGTGTGTGTGTGTGTGTGTGTGTGTGTGTGTGTGTGTGTGTGTGTGTGTGTGTGTGTGTGTGTGTGTGTGATGTGTGTGTGTGTATCAGTGTGAGAGGTGATGGTACAAAGAGAGCCCTTGCGTGTTTCAAACGGGTGAAGATGACTGTTGTACCTTGTGCCAAGTGCCCCGCCTCCCATCCCCCGTTGTTCGTACACGCACACACCTTGCCGAAGAAATCGAGGGCCATAACGTTGTAGTTGAAGGACTTGATCCAGGTTTCCATGACATCCCAGGGCGATTCGACGTTGAGGCGCAGGGCATGGCCGAGGAAAGGCAGGCTGCCCGTTGCACGAGGCAAGGAGCGCAGCGCAGAGCCGATGCTCCACTGCTCCGCAACGTAGCGGGTAGTGTCCACGGCGACCTTGATGGCCACGAGCGCTCCAGCGCACTTGAGCGCCGTCACCACGGGCCGGTGGGTGAAGCCGTCGCGGAGTGTGTCCACGAGGCCAGTCCACGCCTCCTTGGCCTTGCCACCGGCGTTCTGCAGGCTCAAGCCTGACAGTGAAGCAGCCATCCCGCTCATCGTCCTTCTTCCTTTTTCTACCAGTGAATACGCGTGTGTGCGTGTGTGCGTGTGTACGCGTCATGTGTGTGTGTGTGTGTGTATGTGTGTGTGTGTGTGTGTGTGTGTGTGTGTGTGTGTGTGTGTGTGTGTGTGTGTGTGTAAGGGTGGCAGTGTAGCTGGCAACAAAACAGAGCGGATCAAGGCAATAAAGCACGGACAGCACAGGCAACAACAACAACACACAGCAGGTTGCACGTTGCACCAACCCCACAAGAAAGCTTCACAGAAATCAAACAGGGCGAGTGGCAAATGAATGAACCACACTCAAGTGATGTGGCATCCACTGATAACACAACACCGCAGCACAACACCGCAGCATACCCCCACAACGCCAAAGCAAAGCACCCTGAGTGCCGCAGCCATCATATCATTCACGCACACCACGCCGCATGGGCACACCTTGTTTGCTGTCCCCACGCAAGCAGCCGGCAAAAGTGGCAATGGCACACGTCAAAATTGCCTTCCAGTCGCCTGATGTCAAGGCAAATTTACTGCTCTTTAGTAAAAATTCATTTTGTGCTGTTGCAGACAGTGCGACAGTTCGACAGACAAAAGCGTTGTTGTGCGTGCAACAACAGCCGCACAACAACAGCCGTACAACGCCAACAGACGATGCAGCGACTTGTGCCGGTGGTGCTGCTGTTGGTGCTGCTGGCCGTGCTCGGGCACAGCAAGAGCAGCAGCAGCAGCAGCAACAGCAGTAGCACGAGCGATGGTGGGCTTGCAGGTGAGGATGGAAGGAGCATCGTACGAGGTCATCTCCTTCTACCACCAACATCAGCAACACCAGCCACACCAGCAACAACAGCGACAGCGTGGGTGGGACTGGTGTTGGAGGCGGCGGATGGCGCCGTCGTGATCCGGGTGCGTGCGAGTCGGGCCAGCGCCAGCGCCAACGTCACCGCCGTTGTCACGCATGCTGATGGCACATGTACGTTTGAGGCAGCGCAGCTTTCACAAGAGGCACAGGCTGCTGTTGGCGGCGACGCTGGATCGCTCTTCTACGCCACCCTCGCACCAAACACGGCGTGTTCAACAACAACAACAACAACAACACATGCCACGAACGGCGACGCACCCGCCGTCGGCGTCGCTGTCCTCGTTGACGGGAAAACAGTGCTGACCACACCGCAGCAGCCCCAGCAACAGCCAGCGCTCAATGCCTTGCCATCAGCCATGCTGCAGCGCTTTTCGCCGCTATTGTTCCAGGGCGTGGTGCAGTCGCTCAACGACCCCGCCAACCCAACTGCATCCATATCACCGCTGCTTCCAAGCACCGCCACCTCAAGCGCAAACGCAGCCGCTGCTGGCGGAGTTTTGATTGCCACTTACTCCAGCGTCAACGTCACGCTGTACCCAGAGATGTTCAATGTAACCCAACCCTTGACCATCTCCATTCATGACAGGTTTCAGAACACCCTCCTCTTCTCCACGCAAGCCTTTCAGGTTGGTACGGTTGTGTGTGTGTGTGTGTGTGTGTGTGTGTGTATGTGTGTGTGTGTGTGTGTGTGTGTGTGTTGCGTGCATAACTTTGTGCATGCGAGCATGTGTCTGTACATGCGGTTCGCTTCACCTGTCTTTGAGCGTACCCCTTCGTCCTTATTCACACACACACACGCACACGCGCGCACACACACGCACGCACACACACACACACACGCACACACACACACACGCACGCTCGCACACACACACACACACACACACACACACACACACACACACACACACACACACAACTCTAGGGACCTGTTGAGGTGCCCGTGCGTGTGCTGGGCCCTGCGGGACAGGTGGCCAACCCCCTCGCAGACCAGCGCTTTATCGTGCACGTTGCCTTTGATGAAGCACCACAGCTGCCGCCAGCATCGCCGTCAACCCAAGTCACGTTCACGTCCCTCCTCAACCCAGAGCCATGGCTCGTGCCCATGCCCGTGGTGGACACGGCAACGGAGATGCCCGCGCCAGAGCAGCGCATGCTCGCGTGCACGCCACCGTCCAATGCGGTCTTGGCGACGTGGAGCCACGCCAACACACAGTGCCGTGTTCAAGCCAGCCGGAACGACGCCCTCGCTTGTGTGCTTGTGCAAGGCCGCTGGTGTGTCGTGCAACAGCAAGGCACGAACGTGCCATACCCGACCGATGGGGGCGACCTCGCGGTGACCGTCACCCTCTCATCGCCAACGGGACTGCGCACGGTGTCTCAACGCGCGCGCATCAGCGTTCAAGACATCAACAACAACCCACCTGTCTTCCCATCACCATCATCATCGTCGTCGTCGCTGTCGCTGGCGGTGCGCGAGAACTTGCCTGCCAAGAGCTTGTGCGGCCGCGTGCGCATCACGGATGATGACGTGACCTTCCCGCCACCGGTCGTCACCATCCTGCGCACCCTGCCTGCACGCGATATTGGCGATGGCGACGACACCATCGAACCTGCTGGTTATCCGTTTGCCGTGGGTGCAGTGTCGCGGGAGAGGCCGGGTGTTTTCCTTGTCGACATTTTCACCACCGCCACCCTTGACCGCGAGGCAATTGCCAACTACACGCTGCTCCTGCGAGCAGATGACGGCACGCACACCGCCACCGCGCCCGTCTCCGTGACTGTGACCGATGCCAATGACCACACTCCTGCTCTTGTCGCCGTGTCCAGCGCTGCTTGCACTCGCACATCGCCCCCAGCGGACGCGACAGGCTCGTCATCGGCGTGTGCGGTGTGGGCAGTGAACAGCCCTGCTGTGCCAGAGGACACACCCCTCAACACGGACGTCACTGTCCTGTCGGCGTTTGATGCCGACAGTCCGCTCTCTGGCGGCGGCCGCGTCTTCGCGTCGCTCGTCACAGACGCCACGCGCGCGTGCACTGCGGCCGACTCGCAGTTCTTTCAACTCATCGCCACCAGTGACAGCGATGATGATGGTGGTGGTAGTGCTGCCGCTGCGGATGTGTCTGCGCGTTGGGCGTTGCGGTTGGTGCGGCGCCTTGACTATGAGGCTAGGCGAGTCATGCGCGTGTGTGTGCAATTGGAGGATGCTGGCCTCCCACCGCGCGCCGCAACTGTTGCCGTTGACGTGCACGTCAGCAACGCCGTGTTTGAGATGAACGCAATTGGTGATGGCGCCTGGATCTACAGCGCTGCACGCGGTCTCCCCCTCACAGCAGCAGCAACAACAACGACAGCAGCGACAATGAGTACATCATCATCGTCGTCGTCGTCTTCGTTGTCGTCGTCGGCGTTGTCACTGCGTGGCGTACCGCTGGCTCACCGCCTGTCCTCCATCTTCCCGCTGCCTGCGTCTGAATTTGTTGCGCTGCCGGCAGCCGCCGCCGCCACCATCACCCTCGCCTTCAACGGCGAAGCAGACACGGAGGATATTGATGTCGCAGTCAACACCGATGCAAACACCGACGCATCGTCAACCACCACCTCCTCCTCATCGTCAGCTGCAGATGCAGCTGATGTACATGTGCGTGTTGCGCATCGTGTGAATCCGACAGAGGAGACGGATTGCGTCATGTCAGAGTGGATCCAGCTTCCGGTCTGCTACGATGCAAGCACGGGCCTGCCCATTGATGCAGACGAATGGGCTGCGTTCCACTCACAGCAACAACAACAGCAAGCGTCTTCTTCTTCGTCAACGTCTTCATCAACACCACCACTCTCGTATGCGCACGTGCTTGCAAGCAACGACAGCAGCGACGTCGTTCGCCCGCTCGTGCGGTTTGTGGTACAGCCGCGCGATGCAAACGGGTACGGCCGAGACTGCCCCCGCTACGACACGCGTGCGCTGCAGGAAAGCAGGGTGTCACTTGCATCCACGGTGCGCGGTCCAATTGGGGTGCACGTGTACCCTAGTGAGACGCCACCTTACGGTGCGCTGTACACGCTTCGCTTTGCGCCGTGCCTGCAAGCAGCAGACGCATCGGCCAACACGGAGGCGTTCCCCGACACCTTGTCCTCCCTCTTTGACGTCCTCAATGGCACCACCAGCAACAGCGGCAGCGACAGCGGCAGTTCCAACAACGCCAACATCAACATCAACAACAACATCAACAACAACAACAACAGCAACAGCAACAGCAACAGCACGTCGGATGCGGTGCGCGGACTGTTGGACCACCTCGCCGTCCTGTCTGCTGTTAGCGATTCCTCCGCACGCAACGGATATGCGCGCAACAACCGCGACCTCGACGGGTGGCGGGTTGGAGGCCTGAGGGTGCCCGGTGACCTGACCACAGCCATCGAACAGGCCGAAGCAGCAGCAGCAGCAAGTGGAGGGGAAGACGGTGGTGGAGATGCGGGGGTGGTTGTGGTGGCGCAGTCACGCGTGTCCACACAGCAACGGCCCCTGTCTTCGCTTCTTGCCTCCCTGCTATCAGGTGCTGGCGACGCTGCGGGTGCTGGTGTGGCGTCAGCCGGCAGCAGCAGTTCGTCAACAGCTGTTGACATCTACGATGGTACGTGGGCAGTGTGCGACTACACCATGGGTGGTAGCAGTGATGCGAGCACCTCCAATTGCACCATCACCATTACGCCGATGTCATCATCTTCATCGTCGCCATCGCCAGCGGTGCTTGATGCCGTGACCGGCCTGGTGTCTGTCACGCCCGGCCTCCACACGCTTCAAATTGCAGCAGAGGTCAACGGCAAAGTTGCCCGTGTGCACGACATTCCGTTGCTTGCAGGCAATGCGTCGGACTTTGCCGCTGCTCACACGCGATCAACCTGCGCCTGGTCACCATCGCCTGACGCAACAACAACAACAACAACAACAACAACAACGACTGCGACTGCAACGGCTGCAGCGTCATCGTCTGCGTCGTCGTCCTCATGCACGGCATCGTCGTCGTCAGCAGATATGAGCAGCAGTGGTGATGGTGTGGACTGGGATCGTGTGTCGCTTGCATCAGGCCCCGCCGCTCACCTCTCTGATTTGGATGGTTTGTGGCGGAGAATGATGAAGCCCTCTCAGAAGGGAGCGGGCGGTGTTGGCGCAGAACGAACCACCGTGACCCTTGGCACGCACCCATCCTACCTCTCCATTGGCCCCGCACGCCTCACATCCCCGTTTGTCGTGCGCTCGCACACGTGCAAGGGCGATGGCGCTGGTGTGCTCACCTGTCCATCCGCCTTTACTGGCAGCCACAGTGGGAGCCGCGCGCTTGCTGCATCGCTGCTGGCGGTGGCACAAGGGTACACGGATGTCATTGTGGCGCCCACGAGCAACGCGACCGCTGCAGACACCGCCCCCTTCGGGACAGACACCAGTGGCACTGGTGGTGGTAGTGGTGCTGCTGGCGCATACGAGAGCCAGGCGTTGTCATCCCACGTCGTGCAAGTGGCCTCCTCACCCGGCTTTGAATGGGCGTGCCAAGGACTTGCTTCTGCTGGCATTGAAGATGCCGATGACGATGTGACTATGGCAACGGGAGCCACGTCGACAACAGCAGGATGGGATTTGAGTCGCCCAACGGCGGTAGCGTTTGGCGTTGATGCGTCTCCGTCCTCGGCCTTCTTTGTGTCGTGGCCAGCGCAGGAGTTTACGCAAGCTGCGAGCGTGTCGTTTGTTGCAGCATGCACTTCAGCATCACGCTTCCTTGCGTGCATCGTTGACCCGCCGTCGACATCGTCGTCCAGCGTGCACTTGCCGTGCGGCGAATACGATGCTGTGGATGAGGTGTATCGTGCAACGCTTCCTCTCTTCTATGGCACCAACACCGTACGCGTGTACTGCGTGGATGACACTGGCAGCCTCTCCCCGTTGCCTGCAAGCATTGTGCAGACGGTCGACCAGGATCCGCCCACCCTTCGCGTCACAGCGCTGCCGAGCGACTGCACGGAACCGACGGCGTGTGTGACCAGCGCGCGTGAGGAAGGCGTGGCTGCCTTGAGCGCGGACGAACCTGGCACCCTCATGTGCCGGCATGGCCATACAAGCGCACTCGCCACCACCACGTCGGCTTGTTGCCGCGCGGTTGTGGCGGCGGTACAGCGCGAATGGGAGAACACGACGCTCGCAAACGAGAATGGCGATGATGTGCTGTCCAGCAGTGGCGGCAAGTCCCCTGATGGCGATGTCAGTGGTGGTGGTGGTGGTGAAGGCGTGCTGCCTGGTGTTGTGGCCAACAGCACCGTTGCTGCCGAATGCGAACAGCTGTGCATGTCTGGCCTGCTCTTCTCCTCCTTTGCTGACGCCATTCAGCGCAACATGACATCCGCTGATGCCAGGGGTGATATAGCACAAGCAGCATCGATGGGCGTGTCTGCAGACGCGTGCTTTGGGTCGCTCTCCCGTGCTGTGCGTGCACACATGTCGTACAGCGCGTGCGTGCAAGCAGAACTGCGAACAACGCTGGAGGCGCTCGTTGCCGTGGAAACACCCGTCATCGCCATCGATGAGGTTGTGAGCAGTGATGGGGAGGGGCGCAGGAGTGGCGGTGGTGACACGCCATCCACACTTGAAGCCATCTCGTGGTCGGAATGGACGGAATGCAATGGCGCTGTTCGTATCCGCGCCAGCACCAGCAACACCAGTGACACCAGTGACACCAGTGACAGCATAGCTGATGGGTCCACGTTTCATGTGTCCAGCGCGCATGGGCAAGTGGTGGTGCATCAGGTGGTGGCGGCGGATGTGGCAGGCAACCGTGCCTCCACCGCTGCAACGGCTTTGACCAGCGCTCCATTCATTGCCTGGCTTGTTGATGCGCAGCACCGAAGCAATGGCACGCTGGCCGAGCTGCTGGCCTTTGCGGTTGGCGTGGAGGAAGCTGAAGAGGCCGCACAGCAGCGGGCGGCTGCCATTGCACGTGCACTCGCGGCGTGTCCTGGCACAAGCACAGCCCTGGTTGCCACCACCGTCCTTGCTGGCGTGCTGTGCGCTGCGTGCGTGCTGTATCTCGCATACCTGCATGTGACGTGGGACGCGTGTGTGGACAGGGCTTCGAAGCGCGGCGAGAAGTCGTTTGAGAGCACAGCGCCGCGCGCCAAGCACGCCCTTCAGCAAGCGTTTGAACTCATCCACATGTCTGATCTTGCCGTGGACGGCTCGTTTGAGATCAACCCTGGCTTCGTGGACACGACGGAAGATGATCTGGTCGCCAACACGAGCTTCCTGTACGGTCTAGGCCTGCACGCACACGACGATGATGATGACGACGATGACGATGGTGATAGTGATGATGATGATGGTGATAATGCTGGGAGTCGGTTTGTTGGTATTGGTGCATCCTTTGTTGGCGACAAACATGATGCGAGTGTGCTTCTGCGCCACGACCCCTCACAACACCAGCATGGGCAAGAGCAAGGGCGAGCCGCAGTAGATCAGAGGGGCGTCGGGAAGAAGAGCGTTCAACACCAACAGCCTCAACACCAGCAGCAACATGGTGGTGTGTCTGCGCCCGAGGACCCTGCGGGATGGCTGCCTGGTGGACTTGACGAACCGCCCATGCTGAGCGACGCGTTTGCGGCTCTCGGAGGCGTACACGATGAGCACGGTGACGGTGGCGGTGATGAAGGGAGCGAGGTGGAGGAGGACATGTCATCGTTTGGATTCCACACAGTACCAGCAGCGACGGCCGCAGCGAACAGTGGTGGTGGTGACGACTCGAGTGGTGAATACTACAACGGCAGCGACGACGACGACGATGATGACTCGGATGAAGACGACTTTGTTTGAGAGAGTGAGAGAGAGAGAGAGTGTGTGTGTGTGAGGGAGAGAGAGAGAGAGAGAGAGTGTGTGTGTGTGTGTGTGTGTGTGTGTGTGTGTGTGTGTGTGTGTGTGTGTGTGTGA